TTTACTTCCAAAATGATACAGTTTTGTTTGTTTGTTTGTTTGTTGATGTTCTGCACATGACTTTTAAAATATTTTTTTGTAATTTTTATTCAATAAATATGTTTACACTTACGTGTCTTCTTATTATGGAACTGATTGAACAAATATAATTTATGTATGAATCAATAGTCATTGATTTCATTTCTCTTCCCCCCTCTCTCTCCCTTCATCCCTCCCTCTCTCTCTCTCAATCACCCCCTCCCCCTCTCTCTCTCTCGTGGTCATAGTTACTATTGATTATTAAAGTCATATCAAGAGAAAGAATATAATTGCGCAATTGTTTATACATAACTAAGGTGAATTGTTAGATTACACTCATACAAATATATAGATAGATAGATTTGAGATGAGAGTATAATTCAATGGATATACAATGAAATCTATCATCTTAATGTAAAACTATTGGTTCCTGTTATGTATTTTTGTGTTTGTAGTCACTTAGAAAAAAAATTAAAAAACAGGCCAACATCATTTAAATAATTAGAGAAGGGTTTTTGTGTGGATATTATAGTAATTTCAATGATTGAAATCATGAGTCAGGTGAAGCTAGACCATCATGGAAAATCTGGAAGCACCAGACGGCCTTTTCGTCCTATTGAGAGACTCCTCAGAAGTACGCATCTACAACTCATGATCTCAACCATTGAAATTACTATAATATTAACAAAAATACTTCTCTAATTATAATCATCATCTAGTGAGAAGCAGTGATTAGTGGAGTTCAATCGGGTCTGTTGTGAGATAGTAACTCACTGATGACAATAATGGATATGTCACTCAATTTAGTGGATTGGTTGAAGTTAAACATTAACACCGTAGGATGCCGGCCAGCTCAATGGTCTAGTAGTTAAGCGCTCGCGTGCGAGACTGGTAGGTTCTGAATTCGAATCTTGCAGGTGGGGGGGGAGGTCGTGGGTGCGCATTGCTGAAGAGTCCCACAATAGGGCCAAACGGCCGTCCAGTGCTTCCAGATTTTCCATGGTGGTCTAGCTTCAACTGACTCATAATCTCAACCATTGAAAATCATTTAAAGAGATTATTACCAAGATTTTTTTGTATTTTATATATTCAATTTTTAAAGTTAATTACATAATTAAAACAAGTGTATATTATCAGAAAGGTGTTTTAGTGAAGATTGTAAAGCAAGACCATCCTAGAGAACGTCGAAGCATCGAAAGACCGTTCCAATCTAGTGTGAAACTCTCCACCATTGCGCATCCACGATTCAAACCCAGGAGGTCTGAGTCCTGCATGTGGAACCATGGATGCATACTGCTGAAGAATCTCATTCTTGGACGAAACAGTCATCCAGTGCTTTCAGGTTTCCAATGGTAGTCTAACATTAATCCATTCTTGATATTAATTTAAATTCAACAATCTCCATATCTTTATACTGATAATTAGGAATTCATTAAAAATGTTTATGACGTCAATTCTCGAAGGCAACTGACAGTATTCTTAATTCTAACGAACTTATTTACTGATAGCTAAGGATATTTGAAAGTTGAAATTTCATGTATGACAATATGATCAGTATGTGTCAATATTTAAACACATAAATCGACTATTTACACACACACACACACATACACTCCTAAACAAATATTAGTTTTTTGGTAGAAATTTCCTCAGTAATTGAGATCATGAACCCATTGATGTTAGACCACCATGGAAAAACTGGGAGCACTTGATGGCCATTTTATCCTAGTATAGGACTATTCAACATTGTATATCCACAATCCCGCTCACGGACTTCGAACTCGGAGCCTTTGGTCCCGCGCGTGAATGCTTAATCTCTAGACTATTGAGCTGGAATTCAAGGGCGTTATTGTTTAACTTCAAACAATCCACGATATTGCGCCAACATCTACCATTCTTATCAGTGGGTTCATATATCATAACAGACCTGGTTGACCTCCACTGGACACGGCTTCTTAATAGAACTGAGGGAAATACCTCTTGAAGTCAATCACTAGTAAGTATATGATGATTATTATCAGGAAGAGGTTTGGTGGAGATTGTAGTAATTTAATAGTTTAATGTTCCTCATTAACACAATATTGGTTGGACTATTGAAATTATGTAAATAATATTGAAGTATATTTAATTTAAGCTTCTAGAAGATGTAAAACTTTGATTCTTTTTTGTTGAATTGAACTTATAATGATTTCGATTAACTAAATTTTCATCAAGGAAAATGGATAATTCATACCGCCATAAATCATATGAAATTCATATAAGCCAGTAGCTCTATGAATACAGTAGATCAGTAGATAACGCATTAAGAGTTAATATTGAATGTCTTTTGGTTTATAGTCTCCTTGTTAGTAAAGATCCCGAAGTCTGGATTTAACTGTCTTACTTACTTACGCCTGTTACTTGTCGTAGAGGAGTATAGGCCGCTCACCAGCATTCGCCATCCAACTCTGTCCTGGACAATCCTTTCCAGCTCTTTTCAGTTATTATTCATCCCTTTCATATCTGCCTCTATTTCCCGACGTCATGTGTTCTTTGACCTTTCACTTTTCCATTTCCCTTCACGATTCCAAGTTAGCATTTGCCTCGTGATGCAGTTTGATGATTTGCGTAATGTATGTCCTATCAATTTCCATCGTCTTTTTCCTAATTTTCTCTTCAGCTGGAAGCTGGTTTGTTCTCTCCCATAGTAAGTTGTTTCTTACTGTATCTTACTTAGACAATTGTTCATAAATACTTGTACTTGTTTTAATGATGGTGGTAGTAGTTCTTTAAGTTTCTGCTTCGTACATTAGGACTGTGTTGACATTCGTATTCAATATTCTCACTTTGATACTGGTTGACAGTTGTTTTGATTTCTTAAATAGAATGAAACGCTTATTCTCAATCACACTGATAGCCACAATCCAATTATTCTTTTGGTTGTTCATGACTTGGTAAAGATGATCATGAAAGATAATACTTTTTTCTCATTATTTTACATGTTCAACTATGTTGTGAATTGTAAAAACCTTACGATTACCATGATTGCCGTTCCTAGCGCAGCGTCATGCTAATCTCTGTATTGTTTCAATTTTAGTATATGTTTCGCTGAAACTCAAGAATGACTTGTAAAATCGTGAAGCATTTTGATTATTAAAGTTAGGTTAAGTAGTCAGAGAAAATTAGAAAAGAGCCATCAATACTGATTTGTATGAATTCCCAACGGATAACAAGGTGTATCTACAACTATACAAGAACTCATAATTACAGGTACACCTTGCTGACGAGTGCCAAGTAGCACGAAACCCGAGTCTAGGGTTTCTTGTCGACTACCTCCAATCACCATCTAATCTTACAATAGTGCCCAGTGGTGTCGAGTCCCCTAGACTGGTGGCCACATTGCAACATGTTCGATAGCATTCGATCTGCATTAATAATAAGGACTAGACAAGCATGACATTGGTCACCACCCAGTGATCAATCAATTGTGAGAACTCATAATCTTTAAAAGGTTTAAAATCTTGTCATTTAGTATAACAATTAGATGGGTAACTAGTAATCAACTATCGATCACCTGTATGAAGACAATCTTTACAATGATTGATTTTATTGATAAGGCTTAGCAATATCCGGTTGCTGACATTTAGCAAAGGATATTGTATTATTATTGTTAACATATTCTTGAATCGTCAGTGTATTGCCTCGGTACTGTTATATAAATGTATGTTTTAGAATAAATAGATTGTGACATTTCAGTTACAAACTTATCCTGAAGTTTATAGCTTTCAGTATTCTAGCTGTTAGTAATCACTAATAAAACATACTTTCATTCAACAAAGTATTTATTGAAACTCATATTGTGGTGTGGGTTACTTATATCCACGCAAGTAGTATATGACGGTGGTCAGGCATAGAATGTATTTCAGTAGAAGGTCAATGAGGAAAGAACGGGAATGAAACTCAATTGGTATGAAAAGGCATGAATAATGAAATCTGACACAATGGATTAATGTTTGCAACAGGAACGGTCAAGTTTGAGATGATAGACTGATATTTTGTAAATTAACTATTTAGTATATGGTTTTCAGATTTTATTATGATGCTCTGTAATTATGTGCTTAAATACATTCGATTGTCCCCACCCGTGTTCTGTTCACTACAATATTGCCATAATCGTATATACTGATAAGAGGTTAACATGATCTATCATGATCAAACAATGCTGATCTGAAATGTTGTATCCATAAAACAAACACTAATGATCGAAATAGACTATATAATAGATAATGGAAACATTATATTCGGCCTTAGATAGAGGTAAACAAGAGTGAAACTACTTTAAAATGAAAAGACTATATAATGGACAGGCAAAGTTGTATAAGAAAATCATTGCGATTGTAGGTAAAATGTTCAAAGTCAATATCGTATCCCGCGAGCGGGATCGTCGATGCGCCCTGTCACAGAGGAGTCCCATACTAGGATGAAACGGCCGTCCATTGCTACAGGTTTCCAACATTGTTCTAACATCAGTCGATTCATGATCTCACTAAAAAAAGAACTTATTAATCTCCACAACCCCAATACTGATAATTAACATGTGCTCACTAGTGACTAGCTTCGTGAGGGAATTCTCGGAGTTCTAGTGAGAAGCCGTGACCAGTGGAGCTAATCCGTGTCGGGTAGAGACAGGTATCTATCTCAGTAAAATGGAAGGTGGTCGCGCAATTTCGTGGATTGGTTGATGTTAGACACTAACACCATTGGATGCTGGCTCAGTGATCCAGTATGTTAAGCGTTCGTGCGCGAGACTGAAGGCCCTGGGTTCGAATCCCACGAGCGGGATCGTGGATGCGCACTTCCACTGAGGAGTTCCATACTACGATGAAACAGCCGTCCAGTGTTTCCAGGTTTTGACTTAATAATCTATAGCTATAAGCCTATTCATCTTAAACCATCTCAAACCAATCTAACCTCTTAAAGTCAGAATAACTGAAGTAAAAATAGAATTCTCTATTCTACATACATGAAAAAATGTATATTTTTTAATAGTTAAGTATACATGCTTGAAATCAAGTTTTATGATAAACAAACTAATCAATCATCAAAAAAAAATGGATAAATCAATAAAAGCTATTGAATTATAAGTATCATGGTTACAATGTCCCCCTTCCCACGTACTAAGAAATACACACACACACACATCCACATCCACATCCTCCTTCTCTATTTGATAGTTAAATACATATTCATACAACTCGGAATCTTTTACAATCAATTTAATTTGTATCTTGTCTAAGTACCATTCCACTTTGAATATTAGTTGGATTGAATTTTGATGAAGATGATGTTTTAAATGTAATTGGAATTATTTTTTGTCCATGTTCATTTGTATATTTTTCAAATTTTCTTATGGAACTTGATACAGGACGTATATTTTCTGGTGAATTTTCAATATTCTCAGTATTATTTTTTAATAAATTTATATTATCATTATTGAATTCATGTAAAGAATGATCCCTTTGAAATATTTCTGATGGATAACGAGAATCTGAACGTAAATTATTATTATTATTTGAATTAGGAAAATAAAATTGTATCATACGTTCTTGTTCTTCAGCGAATTCATGTTCAGCAAACTGTAAAAATGAAACATTTTTATCATTATAAAATATATTACTTATTATTAAATTAAGTAACTAAAATTATTTAACAAAATATATGTATCAGTGAATAAAATACTGGACGTGACGACGATCACTTATATTGATCATTTTTCCTGTAGTTCTGTGGGAACGAAAGTGTACTAATTAAGAGTCTCTCACTAAATCATTCGATGAACTGATGAGATAACTGTTTACAATCTTTAATAGTCCTTGACTGTTTTAAAGTACTTCGTTTTAGCATAAGATAATTATGAAACAAGGTTATGTCAATGATTCAACACTTCCATACAAACATACTTCTACTCTTGATATTCCGCGTAGCAAGTAAAATTAAGAAAGTTAATTTTATATGTATTATGAAAAATGATTCCAAGGAAAATTGGTTTAAACAGTCCATGGCTGTATTCTCCATCAGATAGAGGAGAATAACGGACTAATTAGCCAACGACGTGGTCTATGTACCTGTGATTCTTGTTCATCTAACTTTGTCACTAAAAAAAGACTGAATATGAATGGGAACATGACTTCAGGTGTAATATTAATAGATCTCATTACAGCTTTGATTGAGTTTTTACAGTTAGGACTTGAAGTAATACATAAACATTTTGGAATTTCTTGTTAACTTAGGTGTTAGAGTGAAGATGTTACCACTTATAGGGAGAGACATGTGAGAGTAATTGGTAATTTGCCGTCATGTGAATCTGTAAAGAGTGTAGTTCTCGAAGAGACATTTCTAACCCGTCTTAACCATTACTTTATGTAACTGTTATTCTGGGAGCGGTAAAGTCAATTTTTTTATTGTTTACTAGCAGTAATGAAGTATAGATACCCATATACACTGATGATAATAAAAACAGGATTACAGGAAGGTTTATGTTCTCCGATTGATTGGTTAAAAATATGACTGTTAGAAGTACCAAGTATAATAACATCAGTTAGTATTTGTGATGATCTGCATAACAACACCGTTTGCGGAATACGTCTACGATAAAAACAAAATAAGTAGTTACGGCGAGACTCTAATTTATGAACGGGCCAATCAGAAGCGTTTGAGGGAGTTCAAGGTCACGGCGCCAATTTCAGTACCTGGTGTTCACGTCCGATCAGTTTATAGCGGATTTAAAAGAAGACAAGATTATTGAGCGACTTCAACAGATGGGACTACTACTACATCTTATATGTGTACAACTTCAATTCGAAATATGCAATTGGAATATTAAGTCCTTTTTTCAAATGTGATTCATACATCTTAGGAAGAGTGAAACCTTTAGGAACTGAAATAGTTGAATGGTTCTTATAACGTATTATATGGAGAAAAACTAAAATGTTTCAACTTACGGTAGACTAAAAGGAATTTTGTTTTAGCACACCATTATACTGAAAGACGACTATAAAATTAATATGCCTTAGGTATTTTCGCTATAAATGACTGATAACGTTCGAAGATATTCTGAAATGGTTCAAAAATCAAGACCACAGCGTGGTCACAGATGTTGGTTAGCTAGCATTGGAATCCAGGATGCGCGTTTCGTCCTATTTGATAAATGTGAGTTGAAACTATCTGTATCCCAAATTTGATATTCAATCGGGGAGTCAAATCCAATACCGTTCGCAATAAATTGGCTGAAGATGTTGTTCAGAATGATAATTAATGCTCTCCAATCAAACTATTTGACTTAGAGTACTGAAAACTATCGAGAGTATCCACCTTGAATAAAATCAGATCTATCACGTTAATAATATATTTTTTTATTGTTCCAGTCAGAGGTGATTTCTTCTGATATTCCCCCACATACTAACTAGTTAACATCGTTTGTCCACTATTCTAAGGTCATTCGTAAAAATGCCGAATTCAATGCTATATAGTATATCCATTATTATGTATACAAAATTGGTTGGTATATCATCTAGAAGTATCTCTACTTTGAATTTTGATGCGTACTGTAGCGTACTTACTTACTTACTTCTGTTATCCGTCACAGAGGAACATAGGCCGCCCATTAGTATTCTCCATTGAACTTTTTCCTGGACAATGCTTTCTAGTTGATATTCATTCTTTTGATGTCTGTTTCTAATTTCTGATTCAGTGTCTTCTTTGGCCCTCCTCTTCTCTGTTTTTCTTCAGGATTCCAAGTTAGCGCTTGTTTCGTGATACAGTTTGATGATTTCCTCAATATATGTCCTATCCACTTCCAATGTGTTTTCTTAATTTTCTCTTCAGATGGAAACTAGTTTGTTGTATCCCACATCAGGTTGTTTCTGAAGGTATCCAGCCAAATGACATTGAGTATCTTGAGTAGGACATTGTTTATAATTACTTGTGCTCTTTTAATGGTAGTTCTGTTAGCTTCGCAAGTTTTAGCTTCGTACACTCCAACTGTCTTGATGTTAGCATTAGAGATTCTGACTTTGATATTGTTTGACAATTGCTTTAAGTTCATTTGTTCTTAAATTGTATGAATGCAGCTCTTCCTTTGAAAATCCTCGCCTTTACGTTTGCATCTGATCCTCCTTCTTCATCGATGATGCTTCACAGGTACGTGAAAGATTCCACATCTTTCAGAGTTTCTCTATCAATTGTGAAATTATCATTCATTATTCTTGTCGGGATATAACGAATGGTACGTTAATTAACAACTATCCACACTAGATTCCTTCTCAGTGTTTATTCTACAGAATTTCAAAACAACTCAGGTCAAGAACACGTGATTAACCTGACTAGAACGTAAATGTATATTTCCAAACCAAAAACCGACAACAATCCAACACAATCTAGCAACAATCAATCAATAATAATAAGGATAGGAGAATAATATAACTCGACTAACGCCTATCAGACTATCTATAAATTTGACTAAGCAAACAATTAATCATTATCATCCTTGCCTATAGATCATATGGAGTGATATAAATAAATAAATCAATAAAATATCTTAGTTGATCTTGATAACTTACTTTTTGAGTAGCTTCCAATGTTACGGATAAATAAGCAATACGACTATCAAAATCCATTTGACATCGTTTTAAAGCAGCATTTTCACTATTTAACAATAATTTTAATTGTTCTAATTGTGCTTTTAATAAATTCTCTGTTAATAATTGTTCTTGTTCTAATATACTTGTCCATAAATCATTTTGACGGTTAGTTATAATATTTAAAACTGTTTTAGATAGCGATTCATATGCCTTTTAAAGGAAATGAATAAAATACGTTTAAGCGTTTTTAGCGAGTTAGTTTATTACGGGATGGGGTCGTTAATCCTATGCTTAACCCTTCTCCTTTATCTGGGCTTGGGACCGGCTGTAGACCCCGAAGGAGCTGCAGGCAGAACTTAAACTTGAATTTAATACACATTATATCAACGAAGCAAAATCTTTTTCTTATTATGGTTTAAACTACTTTTAATTTGAAAGTAGTCAAATTTTTATAAAATAATTGTTTTGCAAAAATCTCATGAAAAGTAGATGATCTGTTGAGATCATTCATAAGTGCTTTACTGATCAATTATTGTTAGATACACATCCAAACAAGTAGTTAAAGCTTTTAGTCTATAACGTGAAAACACTAATGTTTAGTAACCAAATTGTTCGGTACACTGATAATGCAGAGATACATCAATTAACGGTGCATCGAAGGAATAGTTTATTGTTTACGTTTAGTAATCCAACAATTCATGATCACAACTAATGAGATATTCATTTTATTACTTCGAAGTGACGAGGAACCTGATATCTGTTTTGAACTGTTAATCAATATATGAGTGAGCTGTAAATGTAAATGAGCATCAAGTCATATGAGTCAGAATACATTATTTTGCAAAAGAATACCAGTTTGAATTCAGTATATACTGTAAAAATGTAGATTTCACTTGTCTTTTGATTGTATTCCTCAACTGTTGTGCACTCACCACTCTTCCAGTGATTCAGTGGTTCTTGGGTTTCAACGGTTGCATAAAAAAAATGGGTCAATTATGTCCATTACAAAATTCGACCATCTCTAAATATCCCCCATATGTAGTAGTAGTAGTAGTAGTAGTAGTAATAGTAGTAGTGTGGTGTGTGCTACTGATATCGACATAAGTAGTATGTGAAGCTAGTCGTGAACAGAATGTCTAGCAGAAGAGAGACAAGAGGATTGAACAGTAAAGAATGGAAATAGAATGATTTTTGAATGAAAATGCAAGAACAATGAAGTCCGAGTTATTTTGAGACAATTGATGGAAATTTTGTAAATTGAGCATTTACGATATGATTGTTAGATTTTATTAACAAGTTCTGTAGTTTTGTGTCGAGTACATTCGATCGTCCTCACTCATGTTCTTGTTGATTACAGTTGTACTGTGGTATATGCTACTTATGTAGAGAGACATAAATAGTATATGGCACCCATCAAAAATGGATTGCTCAGTACCACAATGCTGAGAGGATCAAGTTGAAAAAAACGTAAATGGAAATACAAAGGAATTGTGAATTGGAAGAATCATACAGAATGTGGAAGATAATTGATGAGAAATTTGTAGATAAAGTATTTTGATTTATGCTTCTCATATTTTACCAAGATATTCTGGGTAAAATAATCAATTGGTTGTCCCCACCTGAATGTATGTTCATTACAGTACTTACAGATCGTAAGTAACTGAAATTCACTCTAATGGTAATTTGTATTCATTGAGTATTTTGTTTGGCTTGTTTAATTCAAAAGTGAATGATTTCAGTCCCTAACTACTAAAGAATTTCATATTAGGCCGATTCATCTTCTATATGATCTTGAACTTCTACGGATTCATCATAATGAAATCGATCTTGAACGCAAGAAGCATAGATGTACTGCATCTTTAGAAATAAGATTAGTTAACTTTAAAAAGTAACTGATCATTCACTTAATATTGCTAACTTGAATCTTTCCACTGATGTTGAGGACTGCAGATGATTAGTCTCTGATTGGCATATATGCATCCTATGCGGATTGCCTCGATATTAACCCAATTAACAAGCATTCTAGGCAAAGATGGATAGTGGCTAGTAGTGGAATCCAGGATGCACGTTTCGACCTATATGATACTCGTCAACTGGATGTACCTTCATCTCAGGGTTAATGTTCACTGTGAGACTAAAATCCAGTACCATTCGTTTGAAACGCCATCACGTTATCCACTTAGCTACTCAGTCCTGAAGTGAACATCAACTCTGGGATGCAGGTACATTCAACTGACGAGTATCAACTATGACGAAACCCACATCCTAGATTTTATTATTATTATCATAAATGGCTTCATTCAATATTATATTTTTTGGTACAATATAGAACTCTCAACACAAAGTATTTCAACAACTTTCCCTTTCTTATTTCTTGATTAGTTCTTGCGATAAATATTGAGTGGTCGCCAGTTAGATGTTAGCGGTTCAAGAATCGACATCTGATAAATGTATATCTTTTTCGATGCATATTGCCAATAATCATGATGTCTCTAATTGAGCTCTTTTGTAACTTGTACAGAGAAATGTCGTAAACTTTTCACAAACGTATCTGAATAGGTTATGAGATACTAATAGGCATAATAATGTGTTAAAACAAACAAAAAGCAACAGATAACTTGTTGAAATATCCAGATGACAGGAAACAGGTAGCCCAGATATTCCACTTCTAGCCACTAAACCATCTTCGCTAAGGTAACTGAATTATAATTAACTGCCAAAAACTTTTCAACCATTATACACGAAATACAAAATCATACATTCCCCTAGCCCTCCTCTTGAGAACGGAGTTAGTTACAGATTACTGATCGACGGTCAATGATTCATAAGGGTAGGGGGTCGGGTGGAAATGTAACAGTCTCAAGTAAATCATTACCAAACAATAATATCACTTTATATCAAAAGGCTTAAACAAATAAACAAACAAACTTACACTTATCGTTGAATGAATACTTTGTGTTGATTTAACTCTATTTATTACATCATTTTGTTGATGTAAATCACTTGGTATTTCAATAATTCTTGTTTTCACAGAATTTGAATTGGATTGTTTTAATTGTTCATTGATATCATTTGATTTTTGTGATTCTTTACAACAACAACTACTATTACTACTACTACTTCTATTACCCCCACCCCCACCGCCAACACCAACACCACCACCAACACCAACACTGCGACCACCTCCACCACCACCACTACTACTATGACTACTCCCATTCATAGATATTATTGAACTTGGTGAATATAATGGTATTAAATGATTTTTCTGTATTCCTAGAATATCATCAATTGAATTATTTTCATGAATATAATATGGTGATTCCATTAATTGTTCCATTAATAATCGTGATTGATGATATTCATTTATATTAGGTAAATAAGTAGTTTTATTAGTAGTATTGTTAAGAGATATCAAAGTATGTTCTGATGATTCATCTTTTCTTTTTAAAATATCCTCTAATAAATGTATCATTTGTTTTTGACCTTTAATAGATTGTTTTAATAATTTACAAGCGGTTTGACGTTCAATCACTTGGGATTCCGTTAATTTTTTTAATGTTTCATGACTTGTATGATGACGTAGATTAGATTCATAGGAATGTATATTACATAACCATTTCCTTTGTATATCATAATATGTTTTAATATGTAATCTAGTCATATTACATAATGACATAATACGACGTTGTTTTAATTCACCAAGATTTAATAGATAAGCTAAATGAAAAATAAAAGGAATTTTTAGTTTAGGGGAGATTGTTAGACTACCATTGCAAAACCTGGAAGCACTAGATGGCCGTTTTGTCTTATTGTGGGACTCCTCTGTGGCAGTGCGCATTCACGATCCCGTCATCCGTGGGACTCGAACCCAAGGCCTGCAGTCTCGCGTGGATCGGTTGAGGTTAGACATTAACACCGTTGGGTCCCGGCCGGCTCAGTGGTTCAGTAGGTTAGGCGTCCGCGCGCGAGAATGAGGGTACTGGGTTCCAGTCCCGCAGGTGGCGGGATCGTGGATGTGCACTGCCACAGAGGAGTCCCAAAATAGGACGGAACGATTGTCCAGTGCTTCCAGGTTTCGCAATGGTGGTCTAACACCAATCGGTTCATGATGTCAATAAAAAAAAAGGGATTATGTAATATGATAGATGATTTTAATAAAGTGAGGATGGGATAGGGGGATTTGTGAAGATTGTAGAACTTTGATAGTTTCAATCATGACTTGATTCTAGATAGATTGATAACTATCGTTCGATTCCTGGATGAGGGGTTATTTATTTATTGAAACATACAAACTTTGGTACAAGGAGGCATCAAATAGATATGCACCATATAAATCATTCGATTTGTATGAGGGTTGGGATAATATCCGGATGCTTGAACCGAATCATGTGGTTTTCTTAGGGGACCACATCTACAGCATTCGACGTAAAGGTTTGATTCACAAGAAAATGGAGCAACGTCAGGAGATGCAGTCTTATGATAACCGGTGACCAACGATTGGTCCATACGCCATTTGCACCATTTATTTGGAATCAGGGTTTTCCAACTCTACTAGGTGGACCTTTCGTGTTCACCAATTCGTTTAAAGTGCCGGATATTTACTTTTATTTCTCTCAATTTTGTAAACAACAGTAATGCCGCGAGAATTCAGTGAGTAGAACTACCCTAGCAGTGGTTGTATGCACTTGACCATGTGAGAGCATTTGGAGAGAGAGAGCTGACTCTTCCCACTCTCAGCCGTAACAGGGCATTGGGGGGGTTGTAGACACTCACTGATGAGGTGTCCTTTACTAGAGCCATACGAATGTCCAGTGATTCTAGGTATTTAGTGATAGTCCAGCTAGGATCAGTTATTGATTTAAACTATGACAATAGATTCACATAAAAGTATACTAAATCGATGATCTAAGAATCTTTCACTAGAATGGAAACGACATTTGCATTTACATTGAGTGTAAACGTGACTTATGAGACTGGAAAGATTTACTGTTAAGTATTCTGTTTTGATAATTGAAAATTTAACAGAATTATAGATAGAGAAGATTTGTAGCTCAATAAGATGATTGTTGACAATAACTAATCAACATCAAGGTCTACAGGACAAGGTGTGAGCCATATGTAGATACTTTGAAAAGCCTAGATTCAACAAGAGGCAGTTTGTCTTTCCATCAGTAAATGAAGATGACATAGTAGATAGGCAATAGTATGAGGAATATTTACTCATCTTGAAGAAGACAGTCTTGTGATATGCAAATCATCACATCCATATATGTGATTCTATCTAAGAGAACTACTACAACAATCATCAAAAGGTACAAGTATTTATGAACAGTTGTTTACGAACAACATTCAATATCCTTTGATCGGATACTATCAGCAACAATCTACTGTAAGAGAAAACAAACCTACTTCCATCTGATGGGAAAATTCAGAAAAAAATGTTAGAGGTGGATAGAACACATATTGGAGGAATCATCCAACTGAATCACTAGACAAGTGCTAACTTGGAGTTCTGAAGGAAAACAAAGAAGAGGAAGAAGTCCAAAGCGAACACTGCTCCAAGAATTAGAAACATACATAAAAAGAATGTATAGCAACTAGAAAGAACAGGAAATAATTGCTAAAGACAGGGTTAAATGGAGAGTACTGATGGACGGCCTATACCCCTCCACGACGGGTAATAGACATAAGCAAGTTATTAAGTATCATCTTTGTTACAAACTTTTATCTTCGTAAACATTTTAATAAGTTCCCGTATAAGAATAGTGAGAATCTTTGTGTAGAATCATTTATAAAAGTATTCATACCTCCCTCCCCCCCCCTGTTTTTTTTGAAGAATTCTCTATGTGTTACTATAACTTTCTGTAATAAAAATTATTGATTTTAAGATATAAAAACTAATTGTAATTCATCACACTTCTATGAACCTAATGAGACATTGAAAGAATGTAGAGCATTACTACACTTTAATGTTTGAAAAAAAAAATTTGTAATTCTATTTTCATCATGGGAGGTATTATGAATGAACAATCGATATAAATAAATATTGATAGTTGTATTGTGATGTGAGCTACTTATATTCACATAAGTAGTAAATAGCGGTAGTTAGAAATAGAATATACTTTATGGTTCTCAGATTTGAGTGGGATATTTTTTAATTTCGTATTCAAACGCATTCGATTTTCCCTATTTGTGTTTTGTTGTTCTATAAAATTTCGAAGAATATTTTTGCTTATAAATTTATACTACTTAAATTTTATATTAGTAACTGTGTTGCAAATACAGGTATAAATTGATCTAATTCTACTGATTGTTTTCCAAATGTTTTAACATGTGGTTTACTACTATAATCATATTTTGAATAGTTGAAATCAGTAGATAGGTAACTTTGCACTTGGAGTTTATGTTGATTTACATTTGTCATTATAGTTTGACTTATATCATTAGAAAATGTGTTATTTCGTTGAAATGTACATCTTTGTTTTCTAGTAGTATTACAATAGGGGATATTACAACTAAACTGGACTTAATTAAACTTGCTATAAATCAGCACCAACTAATGGGTTTCACACTGCTATCTTTACTACAATTAGTAGTTCATTAGTAGTATATATTCATAAAACAAAATGAGATCAAGATTAGAAACTTAAGTTTCATCGTGTACAATAAATCCACTTTCATAAGTGGATTTTGTGGAGATTTCAGTGATTTTATGGCTGAATTCATGAGTCATTTAAAGCTAGACTACCATGAAAAACCTCAAAGTACTGGACGTCTGGGTTCGTTGTGTGATGATTACTCAATGATGGCGATGGTGGATGTGTCGCTCAAATTCGTGAATTACTTGATGTTAGACATATACACCGTTGTATGATAGCCAATTCAGTGCTCTGGTGAATAAGTGCTTGCGTGCGAGACTTATAGGTCCTGTGTTCGAATCTCGTGAAGCGGTATCGTGACTGAGTAGTATTCAGGAGTCCCACAATAAAACGAAACGACCTTTCAATACTTCCAGGTTTTCCATGGTGGTGGTCTAGCTTCAATTGACTCATAAATTCAACTATAAAATTCATTTTCTTCAATTTTTTTTTCATGGAATTTTGTTCTCTAAGCTGGATGGTTTGGTCTTAGATCTTTCAACTTCTACTTGAAGTTTTTACTGATCATGTTCATTTAGAAGAACAATGAAAGTTCCACGACTAAACCATCCAGCTCACAGAATAAAACTCGACCAAAATCATCTACCTCAGCTACAAATCTTCTCCACCATTCCATTTTCTTCAGTAAATATCACTTGTAAGTTATTGACTGAATATTTTCATAACTAATTTCATTATTTAATGTTTAATGGTTTCTTAATGAAATCAATCACTTGTGTAGATGTCATAAATAGTACTTTATAAAGAAGATCTAATTCAAAACAGTTAGTCCCTTTGATAAATTTTGATAATGCAATGAGAAGACGAAGTTTATCAGAATTATGTGATATATTAGCGCAATACATTTCGAACAATCTGATCACACATATACTTGATTGAGACGGGTCATAAGGTCGACATCAAATCAGCATTTGTAGTGTTATACAAAAGCCTTCAAGGACGTATACTAAGATTTATTGAAGCCTTGGTTATACGGAAACTAAAACCCCCTTTATGTGTTCAAAAACAATTTGTCCTTACACTAAAGCTACCCTGGTAATACTGATTTATTATCCAGAGTGGTAATCACATTTGTTTTGTGTACTTTAATATTTTTTTCCTTTGTCATAACTTACCCTTAACCTGTCTAGTTGACCTTTTATTTTTATATATAAATGCTCTTAACAAGATCTAATTCATTATTTAATTATAGTTTTCATCATAAAATAGATACAATTTTACTTCATGAATACATTTTCTTGATAAATGAAAAAGAAAATAACAACCAAACATCATGTTATTCTTATCAGAAGGGGTTTTGTAGAGATTGAATCAATTGAAGCTAGACCATCACTATGGAAAACCTAGAAGCACTGAATGACTGTTTCGTTCTATTATGGGATTCTTCAGCATGTTATTCTATTGTTTAAAGTGAATAGTATTGGGTTTATGTTTCAAAGTGAATATTAATATTAAGATGTAAATATATTCAGCTGACGAGTTTTAAACAGGACGAAACATACATGTTGGATTCCATTACTAATGATTATTGATCTTTATTTATGATCTATGTTATTTCTAGTTTACCAATAATAATATTATTAAATGAATATAAATCATATGGATATAGAAATGAAAAAAAAAAAATCTGAAAAATTTTTATTGATTTTGAAAAACAAAAAAAAACAGAACAAAAAACTACCAACAAAAAATAAAGATTAATTCAACCAAAATGAGATGCAACTCGTTACCATATTACCTAAATAACCTTGAGTTAAATGAATATTAACTTGATAAATACATATCTATGAATGTATTCATATATATATATCAATAAAAGCAGTACCCATTTCATAATCATTTATCATACATATCGGTATCTATCTATCTACTCTCCATCTATCTATCTCTCTATCTCTCTACCTCTCTACCTCTCTACCTCTCTATCTCTCTATCTATCTATATGCCTACATGAATAAATTGTTGTTTGAATATAATCCATTTAAGACAGTTGTCTGAAGAATTTAAATAGAATAGAAAATCTTAAATGAAAAACTACATGCCAACTCACTCCCCCCC